TAATAAAACTATCTTCTCTAAAAAGTAATTTATATTGATCCGATTAATCGTCGATATCAATAGAGAAACGATAAACATTATGATAAATAAGATATAAAAATATGCAAAATCTACCCGTTAAAATCGCATTCTCGTAGTGTCGACTCGTCTCCGCGACACTTCAACTGATCCACCATAAATCTCGTAGGTGGATCGAGATTTCCATAAAATCCTCCCGGTCTAACTTCCAAAGCTCCAAGATCGAAACCGAGCTCTTTGCAAATGACGTCAGCATTGATCATGCCAAAGCCATCGTCGCATACCTGCCCCCAATGTCCTAGAACTGCTCGACAAATTGACTAAATTTAGGAAGTGAAGAGCCACAGAGAGAGAGAATCTATCTGGCTTCTAAAATATTAATTCCATCCTTCCCTTGCGATTTATTTGCGTGAAAAATGCATATAGATTTGTTTGTCATCTATTTCATGTTATTTATATATGTTCTTATAAATATATTCATAAAAGAAGGATTTAACAAATTTCAGGAAAAATTGATTTATGAAAACTGTGTGTAGCACAATATAGAATATGAGATTAAAAAAGTATTGTCAAGTAAAATTTAATTATATTATAATAAAAATTGAAATTATTTTACATATTTGTAATTTGTTATGTATTCTGGGATTAAATATACTCACTTTTGACTTCGATTCTACCTTCGTAGCTATTATTGGCACCAGCCAAACGGATATCGTAATCAAGATTTTCAGTCGTGCAGATGCTCTCGTCGCTGCGATCATTGCAATCGTTTTTGCCGTCGCAGACTTGTGTTTCATTTATGCACTTGTGATTGTCGCAAACATACATGCCGTCGCAGTTTATGCTTCTCTCCCTCAATTCGTAATAATCGAATTGCTTGTCAGACTTAAGTGCGCCAGTCAAGCCGATGTTGCTGCTGCTTAACAAACAGACATTACCATCCGATCTAAAACAGAATGTGTGAATTAGAATTATATATTCTTATAAATATATTAATAACTTTGTACATTTATATTAAATATTTTTTACTAAAATATATTTAAAAACAAACATGTTAATTATATATCTATTATTTTAATATAACACTTTCTCTCATTATTTGCATTTAATGATTAAAAAGAATATTTAGACGAACTTGTGATTAAACGAGCGACAAGTAAAATCAGCTTCTTTGCATCTCAGAGCACATGTTTTCAACGGCGTGTTCAACCATTTTTCCACATCGTAGCCGTCAAGTTTATGCTTCGCGGATTTTGCAAAGAGACTGAGATCCATAATGCAAGTCCTTTCGTCAGCACCATTTGTGCAATCCTAAATCGCATTATATAAAACGATGTAATAATTGTGTCATCAATTTTCATACGAAAATACGTAATTACAGCAATTTGAGAAAGATTTTTTCCAATTTTAATAAAACCTTTTTAGTTAAAATCAATTTTTAAATCCACACACAACAGGCATTTGCTAAATTATCTTTTTCTACATACTCTTTCAAGAAATAAAAGAAACATGAATGGTGCTATTTTTGCTATGCACACATTGAATAAATATTTTTGTATAAAATCGCATGTATCTCACCTCTTCTCCATCGCAAACCCATGGAGATGGAATACATTCTCCAGGTATACATTCGAAATGTTTAGGTTTGCATTGACCAGACAGCAAAGAGCGTTTTGGATCTAAAAAAATAATTTTTTTTTATTTTTATACTATATTTTATACTATATCCACATACCACTACTTGTTTACATTTTTTAGCAGTTTGCTATCATACTGCTACAATTTTTTTTTTTTTTTTTTCCCCCAAAAAGCTACTATTTTTTTTATTTCAACTGAAAAAAACTTAATAATCAATATTTTAAATACCGATATGTCCACAAGCAGGAATGTCGCAATATTCACGTTTTCCAGATCCTGTAAAGCACCATGGTCTCGATTCTTTTCCCGGATTAGGATTTCTGCAGTAGTTATGCATTTTCAATTTCTCTTGAATTTCTTTGTTAATAACCTATGATAGTAAAAATTAGATTGCTCTTTAATTCAATAAACTACATACATATTTTTAATTTATAACATCAAACCTACATTCACGCGTAATTGATGTGCGATTCTGTCATCGGCCCACGGGAGACATTCATTTCCTGATACTGTTACATTGGCTTTACCGCTGTATTGATTTCCTTTCCCGTAAACACAACCTAAACAAACATATAAATAAGATGAGAATTGTCTTCCTGCATCCAATATATTTGCTGCTATTTATTATGAAACATTATATCATTTTATATTACAAATTTCAATTTTTATAATTAAATTTAAAAAATCAATAGACATTAATATGGTCACGATTCTGGTATAATCAAAGGAAAATATTTTATATATAAAACGATTAATTTCTTCCAATTTACAATATAAACACATGTTACAATATAAACATTTTAATTGTACGATAATATTTTTTTAATAATACCGATGTCATCATAAGGTCTCTCGCAAATAAAGAAATGTCCTTTCGAGTCAGTTGCGCAGTCTTCAGTATCCCAGAAGAAATAATCTGTATTACATATCGTGTCAGGTCGTTCGTGGCATGGAAATTTCCGTTTCATTACGATACAATGAGGACGAGAGCCTACCCACGGCAATGGTTTCATATCATTCTTCCATCCAGGCCACCACTTTGTAAATCTAATAAAAAACATTTAACACAAAATTTAGCGTCACAAAGAAGTGGCTTTTAAATTAATTAACTTTTTACAAGCACAAATAAATTCTGTACCCAAAAAAGTTGTAAGTAAAATATGAAAAACGCAAGTTAAGAAAATTATTATTTGCAATATTGAAATTCAGGAAATATCTAATAAAGTGAAATTAAATTCTTAACATATTTTACTTGAATTTTGCTCGGGTGGAATCATCCCAGAGCCACAAGGTGTGATTCATGGTGGTGAAACCAAAGCCGGAAGTCATGATGGAGCTAACTTCCGGATGCGATTGCAATAGCCACTCCGACACAAAGTTGTTTTCCGCCTGGCTAGTGATGTCAACGACCCGTGCATTCCTTCGTGTGCAGTACTCCAATGCTTCCCCATGATTGAGTCCGCTATCGGGACCAGCTAAGTGGTAACATTGTCCATCATGCGATATTTCATCCTTGCGACAATGTGCTATACGATTGGGAGCGCATCGCACACCGATTGCATCTCTATCCACGCGACACTCTTGATTATGCGTGAATCTAAATTATCATACAACATCTTATTATTAACATAAAAATTTTATTACAATTTTGCGGAAAAAATTGCAGACAAAAGATAGTCATAAACTTAAAAAATAAAAAATAAGAAAACATAATCATAAATACTTTGCTATTGTTATTTAGATTTTTATTATTTGATCATCTTTGTTCAATGAAAGAAATGCTCTTAAATTTTTGACAGTGCGCATCTTACTTGCACGATTGGAATCTAGTCTCGTTGCCGAAGCATGTTACACTGTTTGCAGCGATCCAAGTTGGCACTCCATCGCGATTGTTGTTTCTACCTTGCCAAGCCATTTCAGCGCCTCTGCAATGAACAAAAAAATTCGTAAAGTATATCATATCCTGCTTTCTCAGTTTTATTACTTTATTGCAATCCAAGATGCGTGATAAAATGAAATTTATAATGGACAAGTGTATCGAAATGGAAAATATTCTTTGAAACAAATTCTTTTACACATAATATCAAATAAGGCAAGCAATCTATTGATAACAATTAAAATGATCAGAAAAGACGCAATATATCAAGGTAAGAAAATCATGTATAAAAACATGGTAAATTAATGTCATTAAATAAATACGTATGTGTATAACTATACATTAGAATTTGCATATAAATTTATTTTTTTTAAATTTAAATCAACTTTTAAAATGCAATAATTTTTTATTTAACATACCTAATATAACCGAGTTGTCTACATAAAATATGAGCTTCCTTTAGTGTCCAACTGTTTCTAGAATCGCATACTATGCCCCAACCAGGCATTGTACCTTGCACCTCAACATAACCATCATTAGCGGCAGAACCACCTCTCAAGCGAATTGTCTATTAATATAAATAAAATGATAGAATAGTATTTCATTATGATTAATATTAAATTTTGTCTCTTCATTTCGCGATCCTCTTACCTGGCCGGATAGAGGTGTAAATCGATCGGACTTTCTTAAACCATTTAGTGATTGCACCGGATGCACATAATAAACTGGGAACGGAGGTTCCTCTATAAAAAAGTAAAACAAATTGTTTATTTATTTTAATTGTTATTTTTTTAAAAAACACTAGAAAATATACATATGTATTTTCTACATATCAATACTTCCACAAAATTAAAATTACACAAAAACTTGATTGAATAATTATCAAAAGAATTTATTTTCAAAAATAATCAAAATGTGATTTTTGCGGCAAAATAACGATAATATTCTATTAAATCCATCATAAAAGCTTCGTCTATAAAAGAAAATATTTTCATGTTACGGCATGCATTGCACAATGCTTTGCGGCGAGACAATACACAAGAAATCAATTGTGAAAAAAGCCATTTAAAAAAGCGATTAAAGCGTATCTTACCAAATTATTTTCCACGAGCATTTGTTGCATAAATGAAAAAAAAAATATATATAGCTATTAAATTAAATCCTCAATTTACCTTCCTTAAACGGTGCCGCTTCAATGTTAAAAAGTTCAACGTCGACATTTTTCGGACCGATTCTCATAATAACCGATGGAGTTGTCGTAGTCACAGTCTTATTTTCAAAAACCAACCTGGGCTTCCACGTATTTTTATCATCCAACACATCTACATCATAATCATTTATCTCGGGTTCGATATCTCGAGATTCCGAATTTGTTTCACTTATTTCCTCGTCAGAAAAATTATGCGACTCCTTTGGGCTCGTAGTGTCCATAAACTCTCTTTCTTTTCTTGCCACTTCAGGTAATTTATTTAGAAACACTCCTGTTGTTATTGTCACCGGAGTTGTCGTTATGATGAGTGGTTGATAATCAGTGCCTATTAATGAAGAAGAAACATTTGCTCGGCCAACCAAATGTTTGGATGCAAATTACCAAATCCAAGTATTCGAGTGTAGCATACTAGTATTGCTAGCGGCGAAATTACAATAGTTTGAACGATCAATAGAATGATAATACAAGCTTCTAGTAAACAACTGACATGTAATAGCCGCCAGTGCTCATTATATTAATAATAGATAACTACCTGCTTCTATTCAGATAACTGAAGTTTCGACAAACATTACGCAATGTCAAGAAAATTTCAAATCAAGCTTAATAACAAATTAAAACTAATTGATTGCTAAACTAGTAACCCTATATAAATAATTAAAGAGAGCAAAAAATAAAAATTAAAACATAAATAAAATAAAAATTAAGACATACTATTAAGAATATTATTCCAGTTGCGGGATTTCTGAGCATCATACGGTTGATGGATCTTCGAATGTCCTTGATTATTCTCAATTTCTTTCGTAATGAAATGGCCTTTTATACCATTTACATTGACATATATTCCATCTGGATATTGGTTTACTTTCGGATATTGAGTCGTATTCTTAGTTTCTGCGACAAATTACATAATCTCTTATTATAAAACACTATGAAAAAAATGTACCAATCATTTGAGTAATAATTTACATATTATTGCAAATAATTAATGGATATAATTTAAAATATATTTACTGGAATTAAGAAACTAAAGACTATAAATTTGCCTACGAACCTAAATCTACTTGACCCCTCGAGTTTAGAAAGACATTAGTCCTTGACGCCCACTGTGCTATTTTTGTATCTGCCTCTCTATCAGTCGTTTCTTGATAAATATTACTTTCGGAATGCCATCGATGCAGTTTATCGTCCGAATCGATTGTATCTACGAAACATTAAGCTTTCACTCATGTTAAGTAATTTGATAAATTTTATCTCGGAATTGAAAAATACAAAGACATTCATGTTTTGTATTCAAAATTAATTTATATTAATTTATTTAATGTTGATTTGTAACGTGTATGAATATTTTTCTTATTGTGTTTGAATTACATATTCTAATTAGAGTATATTTATATTTACTATTCTTAATATATTTTGAGTTTTCCACCATTAAATTTGTGAAATACAACATGCAACATAATTTCCATATATGTATATGATTAAATTGCACGCAAGCATTAAAAAGCACCATTATTCACGTGCATGCATCGTGTATTATTTGTTAAATATTATCATATTGTGCTGTACAATAAGCTTTGTGCATAACTTATCGCAAAGTTAAGTCATGCGGTGTGTAAATAGCTGCCAAAAAATTTTGTAAGCACTTTAATTACTATAAATTTTATTATTAATATATATTTTTTATTATAATAAATTCTTTTAATCTTATTAATAATAAATAAATAATGTTTATGTAATCATCACAATAACGAAAAAATATCTTTATATATAATATATAATTCTAAAATATATAAAAATATATAATTCTATAATATATAAAAATATATAAAAATTTATCAGTAATTTATAAAATAATAAGCAAATTATTCTGATATTAATTTGTATTTACCTTCATCCCATTTCGTCTGTGTTGGTCGTCGATCTTGCGAATCATATCGTGTACTCGGCTTGAAACCAGATCTGTCCGGATGATTCCAAGCAGTATTTTCTTGTCCTATCCAAGGTGGAGGTGGTCTATGTTGTGGCGATCCATCTTTGGTCTCATTCCAATCCCCAAATTTATTATCACTATTTAGGAAAACATTTCCAGTGGGTGGAGCAGTACGATTGAAGCTGGGATGAAATCCAGGATTCATCCTACCATAATCTTGTCTATTCGGCGTGAAATCATAACCGGTATTTGCTGGCAGATTTCTGTCGACGCCAAACTTTGTTTTATTCTGTCTATCGGGAAACTGAACGTTATCTTTTTTATCGTATCTTCCGGGAGGGAAATGTGGTTGCAATTGCTTCTGTTCTGTTTCGTCCACCGTAGTGTCGTCGAAATGCGGGCGAATATTATGAGGATAATTGTAATCGGGACGCCATTGAGAACCGTCACCCGTCGGATTGTGTCCCTCGTGGTATTGTTGATCGTATCCTCGATCACTCGTACGGCTACCTGAGTCCCAATTAGGATTTGCTGGGGGTGCGGATCCGTAATCGTAAGGATACTGATGATAAGTACCGGGAGGATGATAGGAACCGGGAGGGTGATGATAACCGGGAGGATGATGATAACCGGGAGGATGATAGTAACCGGGAGGATGATAGTAACCGGGAGGATGATGGTAACCGGGAGGATGATGGTAACCAGGAGGATGATATCCGTGATGGTGATCTTGACTTTTATGTTCATACGGCCATGATTTTCCTGGATAATCGGGATGACCTCCGTGTGGATCTTGAACAGTCCCTTGACTTTCTGTCCATTGCCTATCTGGACTTTGATCATATTTGCTATCGGAAGGACGACCCACATTTCCACTGCTTGGTTGCCAAGTGTACGGTCCATGATCTTTGTATCGGCTTTCTCCGTGATAAGCATGCCCAGGACGATCATAAGACGGCCTCGCAGTTGTCCATGTTGGTGTCCAGTGTGGACTCGAGGTCGTCGTGAATGGTCTCCATGTTGGCCTATGTGTTGTCGCACTGTATCCCGGCCAAGAGACGTGACCACCAGTTGTGTGATTATATCGACCCGAGTTTGACCATGGTGCGGTACGTCCAGTAGATGGTGACCACGTCTTACTCCCCGTTCCATGCGCTCTATCATCGGATTTATCTGCAATAAAACAATTATTGCAATTATCTTCAGAATATTCCAGAAATTACCAGTTTCAATAATAGCTTGCTAAAAAAAATTTATAAAAATACTTTTTTAACTTTTTTAACTTAATCTAATTGTGATTATTTACAAATTGTGTTAAGATACATCCGTACAGTATTTTCGAACGCGTTATATATTTTATTTTTATTGAAAAGGGTACTACTGTGAATTGTTTCGAAAAAAACAGTGTGTTCATTAACAATTTGCGTTATTACTGAATACAATTACCTGTTTTACAACTGGGCACATTGTAAGGCCAATCGCAAACCGTCGTAAGAGGATTGAAGGCTGTTCCAGGACCACAATCCATCACAAAAGTACCACCGTTCGTACATTGAAGGAATTTTTTACACGTTTCCGGATGAGGCAATAATCCAGTGAAATCCGTAGGACAACTAATCTTCTTTATTTCGGTGTATCTCGATTTGTCATGTTCAAAATCCGCAAATGGAGGCGTAAACGGTACTTTGTCATCTTCATGAGATTTAAAAGTATCTGTAATAAAATAGAATTATGTACATGTGTTCATTATTTTAATAAATTATTTTTTCAAGAAATTATTGTTACCTTCGCAGCCCTTTACATTATATGGCCAATCGCACACACCATTAGCTGTATTGAAAACTGTTCCAGGACCGCAATTCATAATGTAGGTTGCACCGTGCGCACATTGCAAAAATTTTGTGCAATCTCCATGATGTGGCAACAAACCCGTCAAATAAGGCGGACATTTTGGTTCCTGTCAATTATTAGACAATTAATAAAACCAAATATATTTATATCAAGATAAAAAATATCGAAAAAGATATGAGCACTATTTGAGCCATATAGAATATTATATAAAAGATTCGAAAAGTAATATTAATTTTGATTTATAATAATAATATAATAATGTATTATAAAGAAATACGTACTTGCAACTTCTCCGACTTTCGATCAACTTGAGATTCAGAGTTTAATGGCTCCCTAAAATCGATGAATTCACTCTCGTAGCATTTCACTTTGTGCGGAAAATCGCACTCTAAAGTATCAGGATTAAAATGAGTGCCTGGAGAACACGGTTGGACAAGCGCGCGGCCTTTCCAGCAATTGACGAAAAACTTGCAATCAGGCGGATAAACAAATTGCCCGGTGGAATTGTGATCCGGACATTGAACACCGAGTCGAGAATCGTATCGAGCCACTTTCTGCTGCGGTTTTCGTGAAAAAAGTATTTTTTCCTTTCGTGGTTTCTGCATAAAAGAATAAATCCGATAAATGCAAAAACTGAATATACATGGATGGCATTTTCACTCATAAAAAAATTCGACTAAATGTTTTTAAAAAAATATTACCGTGCTATCAGTGGCTATGCCTTCATACAAATTCTCGTTCTCAAATTCCACATACGTATCTTTCGCACCGTCACTTCTCGGCGGTTGCTTATACGCAAAATCAATTTCGTTTTGAGGCCGATTTCCGTATTTTGAATCATCCTTGAAGCGCCCGTATTTTTTATCGGATTCTCCATGTCCAAAAGATTTCACATTTTCTTTTTGTTGATCCGATTTATCAAAGTTACGTTTCTGCTCAGAAATTTGTTCAGACACTTGCTCGGGAACTTGCTCAGGAATATTATCCTGAATGTCAACCTGCTTTCTTTGTTCGATTTCGCTGTCAGGAGCCTTCCACCAAGGACTCCAATTCTTTGTACTAGGTTTGGGCGAAATATTATCCCGTGATTGCCATTTTGGAGAACGAGATTCTATCTGAATGCGTGATTTGTTCTCTTTATCAAACGAATGCCAAGGAAGCACCGATTCACGACGCTCCGGTGGTTTCGTAGTTGTCAAGCTTGGATCATAGATCTGTGATAATTAAAATGCGATAATTAAAATAGAAAAAATTATGTCTTAATTTTTATATCAAAATTGATAGTGAAATCAAAATTCACGTAGAATTCATTACATTTGCATATTTGTTTTATATATGTATAAGCAATACATATTTGCGACTAATAAATTTTTTTTGCACTTGGCGCAATCAATGACAAATACAAATAAATAAATAAAATCTTAATGATTCATGAGTAATTAAATGTAATTAAATTAAATCACATGTGATTTAAATTGTCACGCCTATATTTTCAACATTATCTTTATCGTCCCAAAACATACAAAGACCAAGTCGTTTATCTTAGATTACATTATGTACTTTATGTAAGAGAAAAATAGTTAATTTAAAATTTCTGATAAAATCTAGCAGTCTAATTAATAATTTAAAATTAATAGGAGCGTAAAGAGCCACAATGCTAGTTCTTCGTGCAAAGTTTAAAATATATTCGTTAAATTGTTTACAAAAAATCAAACGTTTCGACCTGCCATCAGGCCTTCTTCAGTGTACATTAATAATAATACAAATAAAGTGACCACTAAGATCTTGACTTGCAAAATGTAAAGACCATTGTTTTCTATTTTTCCACCTTGTCCTCTCTACGTGGACTGGCGCTTCAACATGAATTTTTTTCAATAATAACTTATTTTCTACCGAACTACAATCGGATGAAAGGATGATATTAACGTCTTCCACATCTTTCACATTATGTTGAAATTTGCGAGCGAATTTTCCGTTTTATTTGTATTATTATTAATGTACACTGAAGAAGGCCTGATGGCAGGTCAAAACGTTTGATTTTTTGTAAACAATTTAACAAATATATTTTAAACTTCGCACGAAGAACTAGCATTGTGGCTCTTTACGCTCCTATTAATTTTAAATAATTTTTGTAATCAGTTGAGCCTTATATTTTATTAATTTTAATTAATAATTATTTTAGATAATTATAGATATTTAAACTATATTGTTTAAAAACATATAATTGTAATAAAATTATTGAGTAAATATGCATGTTACACCTCATCGATTTATTCACCACTTAGATATGTTGTAGGGGAGGTTGAGGTTGCAGATAATTACTCGGAACAACCTCTTATGACATATTTAAGTGACGAAAAAAATGATAGTGTGACCTAATATGCATATTTATATTAATTGTTGTATAATGCATATAAGAGTACTACAGCGCGTGTGAGAAATACGATGTTTTATATCATAGAAAAATAAATGTGAATTCAGAAAAATATAAAAATATATTAGACAAATATGTCAATATTATTGCACCATGATATGAAATAAGTTCAAGTTAAGAAAGAATATGTTAACGACACGTGATCAACAATCTTCATTCAATAAATTACGCATTTCTGCAGCCTAATTGGTTGTGACACACTTGGTTGTGAATTTACATTACGTTTCAAACATATGTCGTTATGTAACGCACGATAAATACCACGCAAATAAGAATATAATGAAGTGTAATGTTTTTAACTCATCAGTATCTTATATTATTGCATCGATAAAGAAATCGAGTATCTTTTAGTGTTTCAAAATCAAAAGTTATCAGTTCAAGGGTGATTATTTGCAATTTATCTTGATAATAAAGCTAAAAATTTTACACTAAATTTGCACTACAAATTCCATAAATATTATTAATTAATAGCAGCGTAAATAAACGTCATAAGCAATGAAACATTGACATTTTTCACGACACAAATTTTACTTCCTCCAATTTATTCTCAATCTAATTTATATTCAAGCAAATTTCAACCGAGACTCGTACACTAGACAGCTAACAATTATATCTTATGTGAAGCCATTGATTCTATCGCCAAACGACGTAGGCAAATCGAGCACATACTATGCTGTATTTTAATGTAACAATATTTCTAAAACTGATAAATCGAAAAGATTGCGCGAACAACAATTATATTTCTTAATGTTTTCCACTTAACACATTAAAAAAAAACTTCGTCATTTCATCGTACTTGCACGTATGACACATAGAAGATTCTCGACACTCTCCAAATAATTTTTCATCTACTTAATATATGATCACAATTTTCTCTTTGGATTACGCGTTTCGCATCTCACAGGCCTTATATCAATTAGCGATCTAGTATATTATATTGAAATCAGTGTGTTGAAAATAATTATCGTTAAATCGCTACATGTACCACTCAAAATCATTCGTAAGCAAATAACCCCACCACGTACCGCGGAAGAAAAAACGGCAATATAGATGAGGTAGAGCGCGACGCAGAGGAAACGATTAAAACACATCGTCATTTTCGATGCTTCCACAATATACCGAGCATCGTACTGTACTGATTCTCGGTTCCACATGAAATCGTGGCATCGTATCCAACGGTCAACCAGCGCCGCATTTCATAGAAGTGTATATCAACAGACCGAAGCAGATAGAGAGACAACAAGTACTTCGGTTCAGGGAAATCAAAGGGTTATCTGCCGAAGAGGTCGAGGTTCGTCTTATGTGGTACGCCGAACGTGCAGCAGCGAGGGAAAATGGGAGAACACAGATAACACAGCGGAGAGAGAAGGAGAGAATTCTCGGCTTAATAAGCTCGCGCACACACGCATAAAGCGAAAAAAAAGCGCCTGTATGCGTGCGAGTTGACGCAATGAACAAGCGACTGCAAACAGACCTATTTGCCAATTGACAATGCACGAGCAAACTTTTATTCGTTAATGATTATCGCAAGGCGGCTTTATAAAAGGACCGACACAAGGAACGCAGACACAAACAACACGGGATGACAAATGGATGGAATTGTTGTTTCATACAGAGTATTTTATTGAACACCTTCGGAACTTTGTCACGGAGGGGAGAAGACAGTTACAACACATCGGCGATCTTAGCGTCGCGATTTTCGCGAGAGCTGGAAGCCGCAGCTGACAGATCCGCGCCGGTGGGTGCAGGTGGAGGTGGCCGGGTCGAAAACGTAAGTGGGCTCGCAAGTCTCCAGCTTGCACCGGCCTTCGCTACACATCACGTACTTTTTGCAGTCATCCGGATACGCTGATACCGTGTAAGACTTGCCGTCCTGTGCAAAAATAGTACATAAGTAATGGTCTGTAAATGATAATGCGTAACGTAAAAAAACTAATTTTGCATTAAATTTATTCGATTTTACTGTATTTAATTAATTTTAAGCGGAATGTTTTGAATGATTACTTGGTTCATTATGTTATTCACTATTTTATTAATTTTCTTTACTAATTTATTTTATTAATTTTATTTTACTCATTTAATATTAACCTATTTTTTAAGCAAAACACATTCAGGCGTATGATACATTTTTAAACATTATGTCGCTCTGACATGTAGGTTTTTATACGCGTTTATGGCAGAATTGAGCGACGGATCTTTCCGATGGCAATCTAGTAAGTCAATGGAACTCAAGATTAGTTTAACTGATTCTTTGCCATTTCCTTGAACTTAGAATTAGAATCAGGCAAAGCATCAATTAATCTGTTATTAAAGTGAAAATTGACCGGTTAGTGAAACTGATTTTTTATATTTTTTATGTTAATAAATCAAATCCTAAAATCAAAAGCCGCGAGTAAAGCAAAACTAAATACATTATAAATTTAATTGTGGATCTTTCAATAGCTTAAGAAATTAAATAACATATGCACTGTAAACAAATTCGGTAAATTTACACAACCAAGATGTAAAAATTACATAATAAATAACGAAAATATATTAATTGTAAATAAATAGTATAAAATTTATAAAATTATATAAATTTGCATTATATATTGAGTCAATTTCTGCTATTTATTCTGTAATTTTTACATCTTGTGTAAATTTACCGATTTTTTTTACAGTGTATAAAAAAACAGTAAAATAATGTTTATCCTTTTTTTCAGTAATCAAAATATCGCAATATCGTCTTAATTAACTTTACTCACCACTCTCATTCTCTTGGTAGCAGTGACAAAGTAACAACAGCATACCAGAAGCAAGAAAATCAATAATCGAAACGACATCTTCGTACGATCTTAGAAATCAATGCAGACACAATACAGTAATGTGCTCGAAAGAATGTGGTATTTATTGCGGAACACGTTGCAATCTGGTGGGAGTTTCACTACCGATATTATGATCACATGCAGAAACTGCGTTATTCCCAGATATACGTCATGCACAGGATGAGTTTATCTGAAGCTGCGAAAAATATCGATTATCTTTCTGCATAAACGAAGGTCGCGTCCGCACTGTCGTGATATACTTTTCGCGTTCACGCGTCGGATACCGTTTGATCGTCGTCTACTGCTCGTCATTGCATTGCACTGGTGCTATGGTGAGCGATGGTGATAGTTTACCGCACCACAATTACCGCTCTCGATGCTCGCGAGATTACATTTCCGCAGCTCGCCGCAGACATTATTAGTCTTTGTGCGAACGCATAGTTCGCAATAACTATATAGACTTATTTTTTATTATACAATTTAATTTAATTTTGAATTAACGGCAGAAAAAAATATTTATTACGACGAGCAATATAGCAATTCAGTGATTAACACAACAAACAGAATTTTAAACTAATATCATAATTTTATTTGCGCAATATAACAACAAAAATTCATATGTTCAAAGAAGTTGGGATAAATAATCACAGGAATGGAATGTTGCAAAATAATTCTTCATTTTCGTCGCAATCTCTTTTCTCTAGAGTGAAATTGTAAATCAAAGTTCTCATCCTCGATTAGAACATCCTTGACGATCTCGTAGAGGATAATCACAAGTGAGTATAGCTGGATTAAATTCTGTTCCTGTACCACAGCTCAGAACAAAGCAACCGCTTGCATCGCAATGTTGATACTTGCTGCAGTCGCCCGGATAAGCTATTACATTTGCCTAAGTGAATAAATCATTCAATTAGCTCTGAAAGTAAAGAAGAAAGAATAGATCGAATAGAAAGAATAAAAGGGAAGCATTTCCTTCTATAACAACAGCCTATATAAAAAACTACAAGTAAAAATAAATATGAAGAAATATTTCGAAAAAATTTTTTTATAATATTGTAACATTATTCACATATATACGGATTCAAAGAATTTTACTTTAAGGTAATTGTCGCGTGCTACCGGTCCGATAAAAAATAAAATCCTACAGCTTGAAGAATGTGTGAAAAAACACACATTAGTAAACTTTTGATCGTTTAAGGTAGTTATCGTGTAAAAAAAATTTCTTAAGAGTGTTTTCAAATTTTAGCTATGTGTTAATTCAAATTCATTATCTAAATATCTGCATAATTTGAAAAATATTTACCATTTGAAGACTGAGATAATTAAAATTAAAAACGCATGTACTGCATAATCAAAACAACTAGTTATGTCCTGTTTGCAGCGGAATCTCTTTAATCTTTTCGGACTTCCCAAATCGGCAAATGTTTACCAAGTGAAATACTTACTTGTACTTGAGTCATGAAGAACGGAGCTGTACACAATATTAAACACAATAAAACTACACAAGATTTCATCTTGAATATCACGTTTCTTGTTGATATTCAACAAGATTGACGTTGATCGTGTTAATCGTCGTTTAATTCAACTCAATTGCGTTTGCATCGCCACAAATCGACTTATATACAAAATCTTCAGTAGACATTATTAGAAATTATTTTGCTATCAAGTAAATGTGTTTTTCCTGTTACGTTTCTTTCGTTTTCGTTATCTTCGGTTCATGCTAAGGGTAAAGGTGAAATAAATCAACGATTCTCATGCGCATCAGCGGTAATCTAAAAGAAAAAATCCACCTGCTGTCGCAATAACGTTTTATTCACTGCATGGCGCTATTGGTAAGAACGCACAAAGATTTATTATAAAATCATTGAAAATATAGATATCAAGTGCACATTATTAATTAACTACTGCGGCAATGTCATGGCACTTTTCGATATCGAACGCGAAGAGCGCTATCGCTAAACGATTAAATCGCAATAGTAGATAATAGATACGAATAAGTTGATGATATTGTTTCAAATATTGCCTACTATATTTTTTACCCTTATTCCATAAAATTATTCATAATTGATTATTTTATCATTTAATTCGTTTATCACAATTGGTCTAATTTTGATATTAAAGATATTTACACGTAAAATGTCCTGCAAAATAACTGCAATATATACTTCACTTGGAAAAATCACAAATAAAATGTAGAGTATAGAAAGGGAATCACAAATTTCTCAATAGGAAAATACGCAAAATTTATAAATGTAATTTTTATTTATAACAAATGACTCACCGAAAAATTATAAACATGTTTATATCTTTGGTGGAATTTCCACTTTTCTTTCAAAGTGACCTCTAGCTATTATTTGTTCACGAAGTAGTGAATATGGGCGCGGTGATTCGGATGGAGTTATCGGTACTCTCGCAAATCGACGTAACTTTGGAGACAACACAATTAAATTCTGGAAAAGACCGAATGCACTGCTAGTTGCCCAGTACAAACTGACACACTGTAAGAAAAACATTTCGAATTATTCTTCATAGAATAAAATTGTTTTGGTTAGAAAATTTTGCCGAAACTTACCGATGGTACATACATAGCAATGGGTATCATCCCAATTGCAAGAATTCTGAAGAAATTAGTCATGTATTTCATGAATTTTGTTAGCTCCTTCTTTCTATTCATGTAAGTTATCTGTATATATAATTGCATTAAATTAAAATTATGCGATTAAACTCTTAATATAATTAATTCGGATATTCTCATTAAATTTATAAATCAATCAAGAATTGTTTGAAACTTGCTTCTATAATAGCTAAATTAAATAATCCCATTGCCACAGGAAGTACAAAGGGATCCGCTACAGTTAAATTTGTAATCCAAAGTAATCCATCGGTTGCAAATTCTTGATAAGTCGCGTAAGCATCTATTAAAAAATATATATAAGTACGTGACGTATTGTTTTTCGTTTTATTTAATCATCATTATACTAACTTGCATCCTGTTTGGGTAACATATAACATAAATTTCTAATAGACATTGACAATGATATCCATAAAGGCACCTGGAACAGTATCACTATACTGGCTTTAGCTGGATGACAATTCTCCCGAACAATCAATTTATTCCATTGTTTTTTCAGCTAAAATCAAAATGACACAGAAGTATATTTAGTACATATAAATGTTTAATGATCACAAATTTAAAATAAAGATAAAGCATTACCTACAGAACGATTATACAAAGGCCTGGCATATTCTTTGGACCAATTAAATTTATGCATCGCATAATTTGTCTCCACCTTCAATTCTTTAACTATCTCGTCCATTTCAGGTTTGAGGTTTTCCAATTTTGCTAATATATATTGCTGAAAATATTATTATTATAAGAATTATAAAAATCTAAATATTACATTTTATAATTGTTAAATATGTCCTACCATATCTATAATAAGAAATATTATATTATCATAAATATATAACTACAAATAATATTTATAAATTTACCTGATAGAAAAATAATGGTAAAGTCACTGTTGTTCTCATCATAATAGTGGTAAGCACAATAATTAACCACCATGGCAAACCTGTATAATCATGTATCCATAGTAAAGAATCTTGCGCAATTCTAACAGGTGTGCTTTCTGATAATGTTTTGAAGATATAATTGAATTGACTTGGATCTTTAATTTCAGCAATAGAATTACTGCTAATATTTGAAAGATGTCTAACACTATTGTAATACTGATTACTGCAACAGGTTTTATATCCTACATGCTTTTTTCCATTATGTAAGAGTGCTTGAGAAATAATCTGAGGTTGAGACACATTCAGATGGTTATATTGTTTTCTTGAATTATATCGTTTAGCTACAAGATTATTTAACAATACTGGCTGTTGATTGTTAAGAATCGAATCTTGTGCAATATTTGTACAAGATGTACTGTAATCATTATATATAATATGAGGAAAACTTGATGATATATTAAAATAAGTAACATTATTAATGATTTTGTTGGTTTGCTTAAGCCGCCCCAAGAAAATGTTTTGCATCTTTGTTAAATTCATGGTAAACATTTATGTGAGCAAATATTAACCAAAAATCTATTAAATTAAACATGTACATGAATATAAGATCAATTTATTATTCACGCTGTACATTTTTGACACTCGCACATTTACTAATTATTTAAAATTAATATACATCCCAATGTAACCATAAAAATTTTTCACGCAACATTTGATGTTAGACTATCTTTTAGAAAATATATTGTGAGGTTATGTTGTGGTATACTACGGTAATACAGTATAATACAGTAGTAGAACAGCGCACCTCGATAATAATGGCATCGATTTTAACATCAAACGAGAAACCGATTTGAATACATATAATAATTTGGCCAAAATAATTAGTTTTGCATTTGAAATTTTATTTAGAACTGTAAATTTTTAATAATATTTTATCGATTATATTGCATTAGAAGCCAATCATCTATATATTGCACTAATATACCGATGATATATAATGTCAAAGACTTCGTTATCATTGATCAATATGTCTAAGTTTTTTAATCATACCTTTATTTGATAAACAATTTAAACATTTACCCACAATTGCTCTCTAAACAGTAGCATGTCGATAACAAAATAAATTTATGTATAATCAGCGTAAAAGCTATTACATATATAATTTGTAATATTAACATATGTACAAAAAAAAAAGAAATATTTTACGTGTACTTTGAAAACAACTATAACATGTATTTTTGCAATTAAATTTTAGATGCACAAATAAAATATTATTAGTTTATTTTTTCAATTAATATCAAGTAAATTTTATTTTATTTTAATCTAAAATTGATCTTTTAATTATAGAAATATTTAATATTAAAATGTAATAAAAAATTTTCCGCATTTGCTAACGCACAATTATTTTTATACTAATACTCTACTTATAATATAAAATTCTATATTATTATATGTATATTATGGCAATATCTTTTATATGCAATATATTCAACATAATTGTTAATTGATCGAATTAGAGCTTTTTCAAAAATCGCGAGCTACTTTTAACATGTCTTTCTTTCTGGCCTTTTTTTACCTCCTTAAGTCTTTCCGCTTTTCTCTTGAAAGAAAACGGTAGTGCAAAGAAAAGGTAATAGGATACGCGCGACGGTGGGGTTAAAGAACCTGGAGCGGAATTACCTCGCGGATTACGTCGGTCTAAACCTTAGATCCGAATTCGACACTGCTAGGTGGAGGCATCCGCATCCGGGTTATTAAAAGCGGCTTCTCTGAACCCTTCACGCAACGCCAGGATCTATACATATAATGAAAATAATATGCTCTATTTACAAATTAAAATATCCGATTTCAAAATATTCCGCGCGCTATTTTATCAATATTGGTTCCGATTTAACTTGTATACAAACGTTAAAAGTTTATTGCGTATATTTTAACTTTTTATGCGTTTTTTTAACCGTAATATGAATTTAAAGTAAAATATGTTCTATAAAAAAAAAGAAACAAAAAGAAAAGTTTTAAGTAAAAAAATGCTAGGTTTGTTTTTTGCGAGTCACATTGTAAGGCGAAGAATATAAAAAAAAAACCCCCGCAGGACACCGTAAAAAAACCAGTACAAGAATGATATCCAAGTTAACCACGTCAATGTGCAAAGAACTGAAAGTCAAGTTTTTGAGTAACGGATTTTTACGGTTTTACAACGTGTTCACCCGATTTCGGAAAAATATTGTGCCCGACGGTCTCCGCACCGTTCGTCGTTACAATTTTTTGTAACGGGAAAAAATTCGCTACAAAGAATTTATGCGGTTCTATCCCTTTTCTCCAACTAACTAAATAAAAAAAAAACGACACTAATGAAAATTTTTATGAAGTTCTTTTTAACGGTGTTTTTAAAACGGACAGAGAGCAGCAAACCTAACGGAAAAAGCGAAAAGTTTTCATTCGAAAAAAATTGCATTGTTATTTAAAAACGCTGTGAAAAATTTGGTAAAACATTTCCTTCGTTGTTTTTTTTTTTTATTCGGGCGTGTTTATTTTTTATCAGAAAAAAAGTATACCGTAAAATGTTTGTCATTTTATCTTGCAAATAAGTAGAATTTTTTATACACTTGTGAGCAAATGATGTAGTAAATCAAAGTAGTAAATCATTTACACTTTATTATTACTCTTCAAGAATATACTATAAAAATAATTCCTTTTGTAAATAAGAAAAAATAGATTATATAAAGTTAATGCAATTATCAATTTACATTATAATTATGATCACAATTACGAGCACAATTTTATTACGACATCTTATTGACGCCACAATAAGGGTCATGCGATTATTTCGCGAGGGCATAAATAAACGAAGAGCAAGCTGAGTGCGCATTTTCGCGATTCACCAACACGGCTTTGACGATATGACACAACCATCGTTTGAGAAGGATACAATAAACGCGGGCGAGAGCCAAGCACTCGTTAAGAGCGGGCCCCGAAGGCTCTAATTAAAATAACAAACGGAAAATCCGCGAGAGTTTCCGCCGCACCCGCAGAAACTTCCCCCGCTCATCGCGTGACACAACTACCGCTTTCCATCGCCTGATACACGCCCCACACCTTCCTCGAAGAGGACCGGCTTTGCATAAACGACGGCAACTATATTCAGCTCTCGGCGACTGTGTATAAATGTTTCCGTATTATATCGCGCGACAGTCGAGGATGTTACTGCACCGATAAGGGTTAAATTAAGACAACAGACTATTATAAGGAAAGCATACCAAAAAAATAAGACAGGATAAAATAAGAAAAAAAGAATTCCATATACAAATGATTGTAACAAAAGTAGATATAATTATGTATACATAAAATATTAAATAAATTAATAATCTTATGACTGCCTGAATTAACTAAAACACTTTTGACACAACTATGTATTCGTTAACTAATTCTTATATATAAAAAAATCGAATAAAGATTCTACGAGATAGCACATACTGCAAAGAAGAGAAAATAAATGGAAACAGAAATGCGATGAAGAGAAGGAAAGATAATTGTGATAAAAATATGAAATCGGAAATAGAGTGAAATGAACAGAATTTAGAATGTAACAAGCGTTTAATTGCGCGAAGAGGAGAAAGACGGAAAGGCCGCGAGGATTCACGCGCGAAGGAAAACATCGGAGGAAAAGGAGACGATAAGTAGAAAGAACAAAGAGATTGAAACGCGGGAAGGGATAACCACGACGAGGGGTAAGCGAGGAAAAGGAATGGGCGAGAGGCTAACCGCGAAGAGGGGTTGGCGTTTCTATTCGGAAGGGGGTTGGTTCTGGCGTCTCGTTACAGCGGTTGGCTGTCGGAAGCGCGGATGACGCGGCGGGGAAGAGGGCGAAAACCCCCGAGGGGGTTGAAGCTGGTCTCGCCGTGTTTTTCGCCGATTGAATCAATTAAAGAGGAAAAACTCCCGGGGTAAAATATTCGAGACGTGTCCTGCCCGACGTGCACGATCGCATATACATGCGTGCTTGTTCGTTCTCGTACCGATCGAGAGATCGACGGCACGGACTGCCTTTCGGATTGTCAGGTATCGAGAAATCGGGTTTTTCGTGATTTGTGCGAGCTAAGATCTTGACGCAGAAAGCACGCGCTGATGCGTACGATTTTAACGTCGTGACATCTTACAAAAGCTATAAATGTTTCGATACGCGTATTTTCTATTAAATTTAAGCAAGTTTGATAATAAAATATCAATTTGATATTTATTATTCACTTCTTTATTATCCTCTTCCGCGTTATAAGATATTGTTACGATGTTCATTCGTAACAATTTTTAATATTTTAACGTACATAGCAGTATATTACATATATAAAGTACCATAAAGTAAATAACAAAATAAAATGATAAAAATAGTTTTAGATGCAATAAAAAATTTTTTTATAAAAAATGCACTAAAACACAGTTTAATTTTTTATTAAATATTTCATACAACATTTTACTTTTCAAAATATATAAAAAATATATATTATAAATATCACGTACTATTATTAGTTAATTTAAATTTTATGATTTGTAAGAGTTTTTGCTATCAATTTATCTCTCTAACAAATGCACGACACTAGTAAAATCTTCGTACTAATTACGTATATAGTATAACTATTATTCCTAAATAGTTATTCCTAAATAGACATGACAAATAATTTATAATAATGTCGCTTGCAATATATTATTTCCCGTTGAAAAAAATTCTTTGTAGAGATATTTTTGTAAATATAGAAGCAATATGGGAAGTTTGCTTGCACAAGGTGTTTCGTGTTCGTTCTGTAATGCGATCGGGATTAAGAAGCATGCGTATGTGGTCGTCGTAAGGAGAAATGGGAGAAGAGAAACAGTGTCAGGCAACAGAGTTTAATCTCTTAATTACTGAAAGAATAGCTCGTACCGCGTACGACGGTGCTAAAGACGATGCGGGGATTACCGGTAATAGTACTCTCGTAAGCCTGCCATCCGGTTTGTTTGTTAAATAATTATCGCTACCTGATTAGGCTTGCACAACATCCTCTTTTGATCTGCACACGCGCAACGAGAATTTCGTGCATTTGATTGATATACAAAATCTTTCTTTATTCATGTCATTTTTATTCAAAATCTTCGAAAAGTTGGACTAACTTATCTCTGCAATTTGCCTATTTTTTTACGATCAAGCAACACTCCGAAGAAAACACTTGACGTAAGTAAATTCGACATCGCGGGTTTCGGGATCGTGCGCGACTAACAGCTTTGACATTTTGCAAACAGCCGCGGAAATGGCGATTCAGCAGATATCGAGAACACCCGACGGATTCCTAATTGACAGTCTCGCAGTGTGGAGCCGCGATTCGCCGACATGTCAGTTGATCTGCAATCGTAAGCGCAAAATAAAATAGGACGAGAGCGGAAGTGCGGCAAGGTTTGCCGAAACGATCGAGGGATATGGGGTGTCCGCTAATTTTCTTTCATTTGTAAATTCCTTAATCTATTAGACTTTCATCTTTATAAACAATGATATCAAGGCATCAGCAATTTTTGGGAAATAGAAACTTAAAAATCTTTTAACAATTTTCCTAGATTTTTATTTTCAGATTAAACTTCAAAAATTAATTTAACATTGCTTCGTATGCTTTTTTATTAAAATTTCCTAAACTTTATCCTTCACGTCTTGAGAAAAATAATTAACGAACGTCTGAATCCATAATGTTAAGATTAATGAATTTTTGCATTTCTATGAATGTAAAACAATACATATTGTCACGTGCGGAACATATAATTTTCATATGTATAACCATACATATGTATAACCATACATAACCAATATAGTTAAAATACAGAGTGTCATATTTGCTCGAGACATAATATCACGGCAAGCGCAGAGTGAAGTATCCCATTGAAAAGCGCTGCATGCCCGCTGAGCTATTCATGTTATGAATTATTGTCACAATAAAGTTCGTACATTCATTGTGCTATATGTATGTGTATTTGTTTTCTATACATTCGAAAAATTTAAGTGTCCTGCGCAAAACCGAGGCAGTTAGAAAAAATTGTTAATACTATACAACGCTCTATACGTATATCATCGAATAAAAGTTTCCACAAAGTTTTGTGAAAAGTTTT